TTCGGACGCTGCGGGCGCTGCTGGTGCCGCGGAAACTGCCGCTCCCAGATGCCTGGGGAATTCGGGAAGTACGAGTGTCGAAGTCCGGGCGTCCCTTTTCACCAACGTTGAAGTACTGGCATCCACCGATCTTGGGAGCCGCTCCTCATGCCTGTGGCGTAGTTTCCAAAACCCCGTGCTTCGCACCGTCCTGTGATGAAGAAGCGCCCCCTTGATGATCCTTCCAGCGATGGCGCCCAGCCTGTCCTGTGCGCCCGGACAAGTGCAGGGCGGCAACGGGCCACCAGGTCCATTGGATCAGGCGCGCTAGCGCCCTGGAACGCAGCTGCCGCGGCGGCCACTGCTGGCCCTCTGGATCGATGTCTCTCAGCAGGTCGCCCCGGATTGGGATCATTTGGACTGTTCTTCTCCTCCCCTGCCCGGGCGGCGGCGAAAACTGACCGGGTTCGAGCGACTTGCGCCGGCATGAAGAATGCGAAGATGGGGGCAGATCTGTTGGTTGATCTGGCTTCGATTTGGGAGGAGTTACCTTTGGCTTTGCCCCTGCAGGTTTCCCCGGTAAGAAGCGCATGGGCCTTCTGCCAGGATTAAAGTCCCCCCGTTCCCCACGTCTACCATGCGGCTTTGGCGCGACACGCGACTATTCTGCCTGGGGGGAGATCCACATCTTCCGTGGCCCTGTCGCAAAGATCTATGATTGTGTCTGTTGCGCGAATGTAGTCCGCGGCAGAGATGCAGTCCGCGTCGGAGTAGTCCGAGTCGGACCCTGAAGGGGGGCCCTCGGATGGGTCGACGGCCTTGGCAAGGGCCAGAGTACCTGCAGCTTTATCATCTGGACCTTCTGGTTCGGACGAAGCGGGCCCCCCCATGACGAAGCGAAGCGAATGCGAGTGACGAATTCTGAGCTCGGACCAACCTCGGCCCAGCCAGCATTCCATCGTTTCGGGGGGCATGCATTCACAAGCTAATCCACGAGCATCATAGCTGACAAGGCGCTGTACCTCGCCGGCTGGATACGCGGCTGGATGACCCCCCCTCTGAGGCGGGTTTCCCCGCGGGCGCTCCCTCCTCAGCGGGGCCCCGGGTACGTTGCCCGTCCTTGGTGGAGTTCATGGCGCCCTCGCATCAGGAGGGCGAGGGCGCCGGTTGCCGCTGGAGCGAGCGCCGATGGAGCGCGCGCGCGCCCGCGCAAATAACTGCGGGCGCGACCATGGCGTAGCATGCGCTGGTCTTGAGCTTCCCACTCGTCGCCATCATCATCTTAGCGGCTCGCACGTCTCCAGACTTGGCGGCTTGCTGATCGCCCCCAGCGGCTCGGAGACCGCCCCACGGCCGCGAACGTCAACTGATGGCCTTCATTATGTCCAAGTTCGCACTGAATGCGCACTGAAGGGTCGCCAGCATCTCGCGGGCCCCCCCGCAAATGATCGCCATCATAAAATTCCTTGTTTGCCCGGTCATTTGCATTGCCTCTTCTGCCGCCGAAATTGCAGCTAAAGAATCCCCAGGTACCCCCACCATGTCTTGATCTATTTCGGCGGGTGCGTGGAAATCCTCGACGACTGCGACATGCGCAGGTCGCCCCGTAATGGGCATGCCTAGCCAGTCTGCCGGATTGCATGGCCAACGCATATCTCCTCGAAGAGCTCGTCGGCGAAATTCTCGGGGGAAATACTGGCACCCAAATATCCGCAGTCATGAAGTTATAACCTGTCAACTGACTTGTCGGCAGGCTCGGCCAGTAGCGTTCCCCAATCGACATACTGTATGTCCGAGTCGGTTTGAACCAAATGTATCGACGGATCTCTGCCTCTCCCATCGCCCCGGGGGCATTCACGGCGAAAATGTTACGTGCTATGGCAGATGTCGCGTTCCATTGTGTTGCCGTCGGCGTCTTTCGGGTTGCCCCGACGCCCCCTACCCTTTTCCTGAAGCACGCTAACGACCCCTGCCTGCGCCCAGGCACAGTTCTTCACATTGCGGTCCAATAAGGGATGCCAGGCAAGCTAACATACCTCTGCCATGCAATCGCCGTCGTTGACCCTTACCCTTGCCTCGACCCTTACCCTTTCCCTTACGGGCCCGCCGGATAGTACGTCGTAGCTTACGAACTGGTTTCTTCATAAAGCGTCTCCGTCTAAGTATATGTTTTTGATATCCTAGGAACAGCCATTGAGCCTGTCGTTCTTCCGTAAGATACGTGGGCATGTCGGAATAGTCTAGGGCACTTGATTCGTCATCGGATGACGCGTCGTTGCCCGCTCCAGAGTCGAAGTCGGACTCAGCGGGTTGCCACGTTGAGCCTACAGCCTACAAGGGTGGTGGCTTGTGTAGGGGCCGCCGTTGCCAGCGGTCCCTGATACCTGGCCCAGGAATCTTGCAATCCCGCGGCCGGACCACCGTTTTGAGCTATTGGCGTGATGGTTTCCGTTGGTTGCGGATCATCGTTCCAGACGTTTGTAGCAGATTGCCCTGCAGTGGCTTCAGCATGGGAGGTTTCGGTACGGTGACCGTGGCTGAAGCTACCACCAATATTGCAAGGGGTTCGCTCAGCGATGTGAGCATATGACCTCATGCGTTCAAGCAGAGCGTCAAATTGCTGCTGATTCCTGGGCATTTGGCGGTTAAGTGGCTGTAGAAGTTGTTGTGTGCACGTCTAGGGCTCTGAACAGAATGACAGTCAAAATTTGGAAGTTGGAGATGTTGAAGCCTGCCGCTTCAGCCTCATAGCGGGCTATCTCAAAGCGCGCCAGGTGTCTGGTCGATCCGTTCTCCCGCATGGACTCGAAAGTCGACGAGAGCAGTACCCGAGTTAAGTTGGCGTTCCTCCTCTAAGCTCTCATACTTCGTGCTGAGGAGGAACATAATGTAGGCGGCACCATCAGTCTGGCGGCCACCTACGGAGACGCCAAAATTAATGACTGCTGGGGGGCCTCTCATGGCTATGGTTCGTGCGAGTCCTATTGCCTGTGGTCACGTTGATCCTAGCATGTACCTCTCGAACGAATTTGCGGAAAGGTACTTGACCGGCCGGGTCCCAGTGGGGGCCGGTTGTCCTTGTGTCGTATCTGCCACGCATGTGTCCCAAAGCGCACCCGATAGCAACCCATATGAGACCAAAAATAGTAACACCAATCCAGGGACCCCGCAGGTCGTAGTCGGATGTGGTTGGCTAGGGTTTGTGCTGTTTGTTGTAAGCCTGCATGGGGGTGGAGGCGGCACTATCTTGGATCGCGCGTCGTCATGTATGGTATGTGGGTGGAATAAGTGGGTGGACTTCAGAGTGTACTAGCGCAGGGATGTAGGACTCGAGTAAGAGACCACTGCGAAAACAGAGGTAGCAGTGTAAGTGTCCTTGCGGCTGTGCATGTTTATGCATATTCTTCCGCGCAGGCCCACTGCACCTTGATGTTCCACATGTCAATAATCCACCAGATAGTACCGTGGATGGTGAGGAGAAAAGCAAGAGCTGCCCAGAATACGCCAGCTCCGCTACCAAGTTTGAAGGGGGCCGGTAGGCCCGTCCAGAAGCTACGCCTTAGGCGAAGCACAACTCCAGCTCTGCTGCATCGTAGCAGCGATAGCTCAAGTCGAAGGAGGTCGTCGCGGGAGCGACGGGCCATCTTAAGCGAAGGATGCTTTCGGTCTCGATGGCGAGTAGTACGCCTCGCAATGGGGCACAGTCAAATATCGGCGACCGGCCGCTTGAGCACAAACGGCCGCGGACAAACGCTCGCTATCCCTCGCCCTTGTCCCAGCTCACTTTAGAATCAGGGACGTATCCCACCATCACTTTGGGCGACAGGTGGTCCAAGGAGGGTCTCATTTCTCTTCCACGACCCCTCTTCCCTTCGGGAGGGGAAGCCTCACCCTCCCCTGGGAGGGCCAACTGTTTACACCCCTCACGAGGATCGTGGCCCCCGAGGTAGGGACGGAACTCTAGGATTCCTCCTCGTTTGACCGGCCGCCTCCAAAATTGCCTCAAGAGGCCCTCCAGGGCCCCAAAGAGGCTCCCAAGAAGGCCTAAAGATCGCCCCAAGAAGCCCCAAGAGGCGCCCGAGAGGCCCCCAAGAGGCCCCCGAGCTGCCTCAGAGAGACCATGATGACCTCCAAGATGGCTCAGATAGCCCAAGCTGGCGCAAGATGGCTCCCAAGATGCTCCAAGCGGCCCCAAGACCGCTGCCAGACGGCTCGAGATGGCCACGGAGCCTCCCAAGCCTCTCCTTGGGAGATTTCATGGCCCCCGCCATGATCTTCCCCCCTGGTCATCCCCCCCCCTCTTGGCCGCCCACGAAAAAACTCTGAACGCTGACGCTTGGGGACCGGGACGTGCCTGGCGTGTCGCTCCGAGGCGTGGTGGGCGAGAACCCGAGGCGCGACACGCCAATTGAGGCCACCCACCCAAATGGGGTCCGAGTCAGTGGGGTCGGAGGATCGAGCAGCATCGCCGATGCATCGCCGATACAGCAGGGGCCCGACCACAAGGAACCTTCCACACAATACCTAACCCTGAGACCCCAGGACGTCCACCGATGTTTGGTGTGGGAACGTCACGCTTTCCACGGCAAGACCATCCCTGGAGGCAAGCAGGGGGCTTCTTGGAGCGGGCCTCAACTGAACATCGGCGTTGCATCGGCGACGTCGGCGGTGCATCGGCGACGCCGGCGTGGAGAGACTCGGGCCCACACAGAGCCGCATCGCCGATGCACCGGAGATGCTGCGCGATCCTCCGATCCCAGCTGCTCGGACCCTATCGCGAAGGCTCAGGCCCACGTAAACGTTCCTGACCGTGCCGTTGTTTGGTTAACCTGAAGTCCGGCCAGTCCCTCTACAGGAGGAGAATTCAAAAAAATAGTATGGGGACGAGTTGTTTGGATATGCTTCGACTAGTTTTGACGATCTTAAACATATATGTTATTTGTTGGCCAAAATGCGCCTGTAGGGGGACATACCCGACCTAATGTTAATCTGGGGGTACAAATCTTAACCATGGCATGAACGGCAAAACTCTACGGGATGGGCGGATTCCTCGAACCAGCACGGGGGGGGCCACTGGCGGCTCTTCAAGCGCCGCCCCTCGCGCGCTCTGCGCGCCATAGGGGAGACCAGTCTGAAATTGAAATGCGACCTCCCATTGCAAACGTCCAACAACAACTGGACCGTCAAAACGGGCGCCGAGCCCGCCAGAAAAAGCGTCGGCAAACGCCAGCTGTGGCGCACTCAAGTCTTACGCTTCGGAGGGGGAGGAGGAGGGAGAAAGAGGGAGGACGAGGAGGAGGAGAAGGAGGAGGAGGAGGCGGAGCTGGAGGAGGAGGGGGAGGAGGATGAGGAGGAGTCCTCGGCGATCGCAGCAGGGCTCGCAGTCATGAGGCTCCTCCTTCGCGGACCTCGCGGCGACAAAGTCACTCCCATGCGCGCCCCTGTTGGAGCGCGCGCCTCGCACAAAGCCGCGGGCTCTGGTGTCGGCAGGGCAGGGGGTGTGGCTAAAAAAGTGCGGCCACCCCACCACTTCGTCGTCGTCATTGTCGTCGCCGTAGTCCCCACCCTCCTCCTCCTCCTCCTCCTCCTCCTCCTCAGCCTCCTCCTCTTTCTCCTCCTCTCACTCCTCCTCCTCCTAGGCCTCCTAGGGCCCCTACTCCCCTTCCCAAGCCTCCTCCTAGGCCTCCTCCACTTGCACTACCCACCCCGCCTCCTCCTGCCCGACCCACCCCGCTTCGTCCTCCTCCTCAAAACTCCGGCTCCGCCCCCACCCAACCCCGCCCCACCCCGCCCACCGCACATCCTCCGCATCTCCTTCCTCCTACACACCCGCCGCCTCTTCCTTCCTGCCCACCTTCTCCTCGGACCCCCCGGCCACACAGACAGCTCGGCTGCCCCACCTCTCCGAGGCCTGATCTGGTACGTACGGATCCAGCGCCTTGGAAATTGAAGCACCGAGATTCCCACAATGCAGCGGTCATGATGTGTGATGCCCCCCCGCGGGCCCCAGAACATCCACGTCCACTAGCTTCTGGGATCCCGGGACTGCTCAACCATGTATTGCTTAAAGAAATTAAATTCTACCTCGATCCCCGCACCCCTCCACCCCAACGAGGCGTAGATATGTTCATATGTTTCTGGACGATCGTTTTTTTTTGAGAAGAAAAACTAACAATCTGCAATGCCAACCGACGCGATATCGGCACCACCCTCAACCATGTCAACCCATACAATGGGGCGCGCACGCAATACATATATAAATATATGTGTATACACATATATGTATATACATATATGTGTTTTGTTGTACATGTGTGTGCATATACGTGAACACATAGCTAGTCCGTGCCGTCAGAGTCGCTGGCAAAAAGCAGCATGAAGGTCATATGCTCGCGGCCCTGCGCACGCATGGCAGACTCATCCTAAAGATTTTGGTTGTCTGACCATGTCCTTACACGAGGTCTTACAACAACTCTGACAACCTGAAGTTGCCGATGAAAATAATATTATGGCGCTACGCTCGGATATCTTGGATCCGCGCCGCAACCCCCTCCTTGGCGCGCGGAGCGCGCCAGGGGCGGCGCCGGAGGCGCCGCCAGGGGGGCCCGGCCCGGATACAAGAAATCCAAGCGGAGCGCCAAAAGTTTGTGTATGGCGCATTTTCTTCGTCGATGTATACGCAATGGTTGCTCAACCAGCACATTGCCGGATCTCTTCGCGCACTTGCTGAAACCCGTCCGAATGCCAGTGTGGATTCCAAACCTGTCAAAGGAGACCAGGCTTTGGTCGGGCATGTCCTCCTACAGGCGGATCTTGGGCGAAAAAGTGAGAACAAATACTGAAAATATACACGAAATAGGTTTAACAAAAGCACGTCCCCAGACTAGGTGTGACTAAAATCTCTTATGCAAATACTCAAACAAATACCCAAACATAGTTGTTCACACATACTTTAAACATCAAATCGTCCTATGACTATTTTTGTTGAACCCTTTTTAGATAGTCCTCCTGTGGAGGGACAAGCCCGACGCAATGCCGGTGTGGATGCCCACCCTGTCGAGAGGAGACAAGGCCGGGCCACGCGCGCGCGCGCCCGTCAAGCACACGCACGGCAGCACAGCGCGCCCGCCAACGCACTCAGGACAGATGATACCGTCGGGGCGCTGACCCGGACATGGGCACCAACACCAGCACGGGGGGGGCTGCCTCCACAGGGGGAAGCTGATCCCAGACTTCGGCGTTGGTGGTAACAGTTCGGCCACCTGGGAAGCCAGGACCTTACCACCATCACCGAGATCGGGCTCTCCTTCCCTCGGTAGAGGCACACCGCCGATATCGGTGGTGGTGTCAACCTCTAGGCCTGCGACCAAACAGTGCGGGCGAGGCCGCAAGAAACCCTCGCAAGAAACCCATCCCTGAAAACCCGCGCGCGAGGTGCACCTGAGGGGCAGCCTGGAGCACCCTGAACGCAGCCGCTCCTTCCCCGGCTGCGGGAAGCCACCGCACAGCGCGCGGAGCGAAGAAACCCAGGATACCCTGAGGAAAAGAAGATGGTTTCTTGATGCGCGCGCCCACTGTAAGACAGGAACGAGGCCCCCTTTTTCCGATAAGTTAGAGATCATGTTCGCATGGAAGGCCTCAGGAACACCTGAGGCAGACTGTCAAACAATCAATGAGCACCGAGCCCCTCCCCAATGAAAAGGGTTCCTTCCTCAGCGCCCCGACTGTACAGCGCACCCGTCAGCTCACTCAAACAGATACAGTGGAGGTCAGTGCACAAGAAGCCTTCCACAAGAAACCCAACCCTGAGACCCCAGGACTAGGGGAAGGAACAATGACATAAACATAAAAACTCGGAGGTCCGCGCCAGATCCGCGCTGGGGCCCCCTGACGGCGCCCCGGCGCGGTCCCTGGTGCCTCGGCCTCGTAGCGCCCCTTCAAAAAAATCTGAGACGCACTGGATCAGGGTACAAATCAGCCCCCTGGAGGCTCGATGCTTGTCCATCTCCAGTGCGCCTCGGCCTCACGGCGCCCCTCCACAAGAACGTCACGCTCTCCATAGCAGAACCATCGAAACCCAAGAAACCTAGGACACCCTGGAGACAAACAGTTCGTGGCATGGGCCCCCACTGTATAGCGCAGCCGTCAACCCACTGAAACCAAATAACGCGGACCACACGCGCACGCGCTTCCGCGCGCACACCTCCGCAGCCTCCCGAACAAACCGTACTAACGAGCATGCCAAAACAGAAATTCCCGACACATCTAAAAGCCAAAATGTGGTTAAACCGCAAACTTTCAGTTCATGTAGAACAGGAAGATTAGCCACTCCGCCGACCTCCCGAAGTGTAGATCGTGCGGCGTTCGATTTCGTGTGTGTGGTTTGTCGCTTTCCGTCGCGCTGCCTGCGTGCAGTTGTTGCTGGTGCGTCCTCCAATGCCGCCGCGTCTGTTGCAGGTACTTATTTGGGACCTCTTCGATGGCCAGGGGGCACCTCTTGATCTTCTAATGGATCTTGGGGGCATGTTTGGGGCGATCTTACGGGAGTCTCTGCGAATTCCTGGAGTCTCTGCGGATTAATCCTCTTTGGCCTCTCTTGGGCCCCTCTCGGGGCGTGGCCAATCTTGGGGGCCTCTTGGGTTGTCTTACGGCTCTCTTAGGCCGTCTAAGGGCCTTCTGGGGGGCCTTTTCGGCCATGTTGGGACTGTCTGGGGGGCCTCTCGGGCAGGCTCAGATTTTCAGAAGAAAAAGCGGCAACGCGAACACCATTCCAGAGCTTATCAAATGCCACGGGAAAAACCCAATGGTTCCTTCCTCTTCTTGAGGCCCCCTTGGAGGTTCTCGTGGGGCACTCTTGGGGCGTCTTTGGCGCTTCTGGGGCTGCCTTCACGCTATCTTGGCGTGTTGGGGAGCCACCTCAGAAGGCGCCTTCGGCGTGTTAGCAGCCACGGAGGGTGGACATGGAGGCTCCCAGGGCCCCGGAAGTGCGTGGAGGAGCTCGTGCCCCCAAGCCCCCGCCCCGCCGCTCGAACTGGTTGTTACACTCCAGGAGAATGAGAAGGGAGGAATGGGACCGGCACATGACTCACACGCCGAGTCATCCCCGAGAAGCGGGGGTCGACGGATTGGATTCCTGCGTGCGCGTATGTACTAAGCATCCTCATTAGCCTAAACAATACCACCATCACAAGCTTCATCATTGCCACCGTCATCAGCATCGTCATCAACATCATCATTATCATCATCATCATCATCATCATCATCATCATCATCATCATCATCATCATAATGATTAGCATCATCATCATCATCAGCATCATCATAATCATCAACATCATTAGCAGCAGCATCAGCATCATCATCAGCAACATCGTAATCATCACCACCACCACCACCACCATCATCATCATCATCATCCTCATCGACATCGTCGTCATCACCAACAGCATCATCATCGTCATCTCATCATCCTCATCAATATCAGGATCGTCGTCATCAGCAGCAGCATCATCAGCATCATCAGCATCATCATCAGCATCAGCATCATCATCACCCACAGCATCATGATCATCATCACAACCACCATCATCGTTATACGTATCATCGCCAGCATCGTCAGCTACATCATCACCGCACCATCAGCATCATCATCATCATCAGCAACAGCATAATCATCAGCATCAGCATAACCATCATCACCCTCATCAGTATCATCATGACCATCGTTGTCATCACCATCAGCATGGTCATAATCATCATCAGCAACAGCATCAGCAGCATCAGCATCATCATCAGTATTGCCATCAGCATCATCATCATCATCATCATCAGCATCGTCCTCATGAGCATCACCATCATCATCACCAGTTCGTCATCATCAGCACAATCATCATAATCAGACTCAACGCCATAGTCACCATCATAGTCATCAGAATCACCCTCAGAACCACCAACACCGTATTCAACATCATCAACATCATCAACATCATGACCAAGATCATCACCGTGACCTCCATCATCATCATCTTCATAATCCTCATCACCATCATCATCAGCAGCATCAGCATCATCAGCGTTATGATCAGAATCCGCATAATCGTCATCATCAGTAGCAGCATCATCATCATCATCGTCACCATCATCTGCATCATCATGGACGACTATTGACCATGGTTAATTGTTTGACGTGCCCGATGGAAATTGCTGTTTACTATTCTTGAATACTCCTCTTGTAGAGGGACGTGCCCGACTTCAGCCTGGATCTCAGAACATTCAAAAGACATGGGAAATCTGGCCCTCTGTACGGGGTCCGTGTATGGCGTCAAGACGGCTCAGCATGTTTTCGGTACGGGCCAGGACAGCCCCACGATGGCCCAAGATGGCCCCAAGAGGGCCCAAACAGCCCCCATGAGGGCCCACGAGGGCGGAGGAGGACGAGGCCTAGAGAAGCAAGGACATCCCCCGAGGGCGCCGCGAGGCGCACGTGAGGCTCACCGAGGCTGCCGCGCGCGCCGCGCCTGGAGGGGCCCGCAGGGGGTCTGGCCCGCGCAGCGCCTGCGC